GTTTTGTGTTTTTTAAGTGTTAATGCATTAATGAGAAGAAAAGAAACAAAAATGAAAAATAAGTGAATAATTGGCTGTAAAAGAAAGATTATATTTATTTATATACACAAGGAGTATTATAAGAAAGTTGGTGTGTTGTGCAAATTATCATTCAAGAGGTTTCAAATTCAAATCCAAGGTGCAACAAAATGGTGTTATATTTTTGTTACATGGTCAATCACTTGCCATGTCATCACCTTCCATATTGTCATTGAAGAAGAAGAAATGAGGAGAGAGAAAGAAGAAAAGAAAACAAAATAAAGGAAAGAAAAGTCAACTAAAGTCAACTAAGAAATGATGAAAAGGTGAAGTAAATATAGAAGTAGTTGACACAGAATGAGTTGATATAGAAATGGGCAATGGTTAGAGTAAGTGTAGCCAGGTGGCGTGAAGAAAGAAAGAAGTGAGAGAAGTTAATATTGACAGAAGGCAGCAATTGTGGAACACAATTTTGGCTATAAGTATATTTTAGCATTGGTTAGTCTGATAATTACACAACGCACTGAGTCCCATAGAGCACCTAGGAGACTCCTGACACAGGTTCCACCAGTAACAAGGGAAAGTATAAAGTCATTAGAAAGTTAAGAACCAGACCCTTCCCGGGTCACATGTTGATTGCTAGTAGCAAATTAACAAAGTTATGGTCAACTGCCAAGGAAAGGAAAATTTTACATTCAACTTTGATAGTAAGTGGACAACTTAGCCAAAGAGAACCAAAAAAAAAAAAAGGAGGATTATATGTAATGAAAGATTATAGATTGTAGGTATAATACATGTACTTGTCAGTCAAGTGATAAATGGGTTCATTGAAAGAGAAAAATAATTTAGAAAGGGATTAAGAATTAGCCCATTGGAGAGAGAGGAGAAACTAAAAAGATTATTTCATATTTAAAAGGATAAATATTGTATTTGAGAAAAATAATTAATTATTTATAAAGTTAGTATTAAAATGTCATTTCCTATAAGATTTAAAAAAAAAAAAAAAAATTTGAATTGAATTAAAGTTGTACAAAAATGTTCATCAAGAAAATAATAAATTCAGCATTCAAATCATAGTGTGATCTAAAAATTGTTAATTTAGGCATGTAAAAAGGTAATATTGTTTTCTTTTATGATTGGATGGCAGGTTCCATCCTGAATCAGATTTTATTTAGAAAGTAATTGGGAAATAATGAGAAAATTCCTTTTTAAGGCAAAAACAAAGTGAATGACATCAGTTTGATCTCTGGATGTGTACTGAGAATCCAGTTTCTCTGACAATGTACATAATGTGTTAAATTTGGGATTCTTTTTAAGGTGAAAACAAAGTGAATGACAGCACCTGCTCCACCATTGTTATAATTCAACAATATTTATAATTCACAACTTTCTGAGTCCTGTTACAACGTTATTACTGACGTAAAAATTACAAACTCAACTTGGCAACTTGCAATGTATGCCGCTTTTTGTGACTTGGTACGACGCATATGTTCACACCAATGATTTTTTTGTTTGAATGATTTCTAACATTCCACAAGGGAGTGAGTGACTTCTGCCTTTGGGTCATTATCGTCCTTATCTTTCGTCAGACATGCATGCATCCTCCACGTAGTTAATACCGCCCATGTTGTCACCCACTTCTGGCGCACGTAGTCATTAATGATGTAAAGGGCTTGCAACTTTTAGTGGAGCCCTTTACATCTATAGTTAAAAATGAAGAGATTGGCCCTCGAGTGGTAATCTCCGGCATATCAAATAATTTGTGTTTATGTGTATTGTAATTATAAGAAATTTCTTGGTTCTTAGTTACTTCGAACGGTAATCCATAAAGATATGAGTTCCTCTTATTTTCATAATTAATAGATTTATATGATAAAAGATCATATCTATAGTTTTTTTGAAAATTGTCTTTTTCATTCGGCAATAAATATATTTCATAATCTTTTTGTTTTTTGTAATGAATTAGTTGGTCTTTTTCATATGAATCCCGTTTGTTTAAATCTTTAGTTTGAGCTGTACGACGTTGATTGACTCTATTTTGCCATTTTTGTGGTATTAATCTAGACCATTTAATCCGAGAGAAATCGTATTGATAATGACCTTTTAACCAATTTTTCCATTGATTCATTCCAGAATTCCGAAGTTTCTTATGGCTTAATTCGAAATGAAATATACCTTGTGTTCCAAAATAATCCTTTATTGTATTCTTAAGAAAAAAAGATGTTCCGTGATATTGAAGAACAGATCTTAATTTATACAAGTTAATAACTTGGGTTTGGGATAATTTGTAAAATACATATGCTTGTGACAAGGAGGGTAAGTCACAAAAAATCTGTGAATTTTTATTATTATTACTAATATTATAAAGTGACTTTTTTTATAGTGGAAATGAAGTGAATTGTAGTTTTATTTCTTTTAGCAATTCTTTCTTGATTTGTTTCATTATTGTAAATATATTTATCAATAATTTTGTTTGTTGATGATGCAAGAAAAAGTTGTGTATTGATTCTGGGAATATTAATGATATATAGAAAGATATCCATGGATATCTTTTCAATGAAAATTTTTATAAAATAATGTAATTTACGGAGTAATCGAACGTTTCTTCTTTTTAACATTTGCCAAATAGTTTTTGGTGATTCTAATCTTTTAACATTATAACTTGTTTTGTTAGGACTAATATTTATTCCTGGAGTTTTTGTTTTTTTCTCTTTTGTAATTCTTTCTATTTGATTTTTTATTGTGCTTGTTCTATCAGTTAGATCAATAATTTGTCCAATTCGTAGATCGAATTTGACTAAACGATTCATGAATTTTCTGATCGTTGATTGTAGAATCTTTTTCTTTTTTAGTTTCACTCGACTCATCTACTTCTTTCAATCTAAATAATAGAATTAAATTTACTTTTGAAAGTTCTTTTAGTATTCTTTTTATAAAAAGAATGCTTTTGATAACCCATTTTTTTGTTTCGTTTAACACCCTTAGAAAGAATTCGATTCTTTCTTTTAAAACTCTTAGAACTATAAAAGACTTATTTTTCAATTGACCAATTTGATTTTCGAGTTCCTTAAAAATGGGTTCAAAAAAAGAAGGCCGTTTTCGAGGAGAACCAAAAGGAAGGTCGGTTTCCATTCCCCAAACTGTTAAAAAACAAAAATCGGCTTTTTTTACTTTTCCTTTCTTTTTCATTCGATCTTTATGGAAGGGCCGTAGCCTTGGTTTGTGCCAAGGTTTCAGACAGAAAGGAAATAAGATTTTTATCTGAATACCATCTAGTAACCAATTTTTCGGAAATTCTGTTTCTGATAATTGAACACCGTTATAGGTGCATTTAACATGCATTTCGCCAGCCCATTCTTTTAAATCCTCAGACCACTCGGGAAATTGCAATAATAAAATACGGCCAATATTTTTAGCTATTATCAATGAAGGTAATATAATATATTTTCTAAAAATCGATTGAGTTACTAACATGGAACCTCTTATTACTTGAGCAAGCGGAATGGTATCCCAGGCTTCTGCTATTTCTATCCGCGTTTTCTCCTTTCGTTTGTTCTCTTCTTTTCTTTTTTTTTTTCCTTCTTTTATTGGTTCTTCTGTATAATCTAAAATTTTGAATTCTTCTTTTTTTCCCATCCCATTTTTCAAAATTAGTTTCATTAGTCTGGAGATATCAAAAGAAAAAAGGAGGGATTTGTCTATTCTGTCCAAAAAAAGGGGAATGCACATTTGCTTGAAACAGTTCCTCAATAACTATTTTACGTCTTTGAGCGCGCATAGAACCTTTGATTATGTTTCGACGAAAATCCGATTGTTGTGAATAACGTATTAAAGCCACTTCATCTTTTTGATTAGAATTTTCAGTCTCAGTATCGATATTTTGTTGGTTATTAGTAAAAATCACTACACGTTTTGCTTTTCTTGAGCGAATCTGCTGTTGCACCGTCCCGTCTTCTTCATTTTCTCTTTCCTGTTGTTGTTCCAAATCGTTGATTAATTTGTATGACCACCGAGGAACTTTTTTAATGATTTCTTGTATTTCAATAGATTTTTTTCTCATTTTTTGATCATTAGGATCATTTATAATTCCATTGAATAAAAATTTCAAAAATTTTGCTCCATCAATTCTTTTGTCTATTGATAATAATTTTTTATCAAATGTATTTATTTTTTGTTCAAATTCTCGATAATCTGTATCAGTAAAAAGGATACCGTGAATCTTATTTATCCAAATTTTTTCTATAAAATTTTCTATGTAAGTTTCATTTATGATTGAAGGTGAAAACCCTTTTTTGATTGTTCCACGAGACGATCCGTTCAAGAAAGGATCATACATTTTAGGCGGTAGTAGAAAGTAAGATCCTCATTATTTAAACGAACCCGGAACATACCATTGGGAAGCGATTCGGTAATTAAACCTTCATGAATCCATTTTTGTTCTTTCATTCCAGGTAAAATCTCCTTGAAGTATCAACTAATGGAGGAGGAACGATATTAGACAACCTGCCCTTTCTTTCTTTTTTTTCACAAATGGGAAGTTTCGGATCCAATTCGGATATAAGAAGGATTACCATATATAACACAAAATTTCTCCGCCGATTCCTTCTTGGCGAGCCTCTCGGTCTGTCATTATCCCTCGAGAAGTAGAAAGAATTACAATTCCCATTCCACCTAAAATTCTAGGAATTCGTTGATAGTTAGAATAGATTCGTAAACCGGGTCGACTGATCCGTTTTAAATTTAAAAGATTTCTATAAGGCCTTCTCCTATTCCTTCTATGTCGCAGGGTTGAAACCAAAAAATATTTGTTGCTTTCCCAATGTTTCCTTACGTTTTCGATAAAACCTTCTCGTAAAAGTATTTTAACAATGTTTTCGGTAATAGTAGTAGATGGTACTCGAACCACTCTTTTTCTATCCATGTCGGCATTTCGTATAGAGGTTATTACGTCCATCAGTGCCAATATTGGCATCTTTGGGGCGATGAAAGAAATAACTGATTAGTCCTTCTATTATAGGCATTATTTTTTTTTGCTTTCAAAAAAGAATTAAGAAATACTCATGGTAACCATTCGAGCCGACGAAATTAGTAATATTATCCGTGAACGTATTGAGCAATATAATAGAGAAGTAAAGATTGTAAATACTGGTACTGTACTTCAAGTAGGCGATGGCATTGCTCGTATTCATGGTCTTGATGAAGTAATGGCAGGTGAATTAGTAGAATTTGAAGAGGGGACAATAGGCATTGCTTTGAATTTGGAATCAAACAATGTTGGTGTTGTATTAATGGGTGACGGTTTGATGATACAAGAAGGAAGTTCTGTAAAAGCAACAGGAAGAATTGCTCAGATACCGGTGAGTGAGGCCTATTTGGGTCGTGTTATAAATGCCCTGGCTAAACCTATTGATGGTAGAGGTGAAATTTCAGCTTCCGAATCTCGGTTAATTGAATCCCCCGCTCCGGGTATTATTTCGCGACGTTCCGTATATGAGCCTCTTCAAACGGAGCTTATTGCTATTGATTCGATGATCCCTATAGGACGTGGTCAGCGAGAATTAATTATTGGGGACAGGCAGACTGGTAAAACAGCAGTAGCCACAGGATAGACCTCAACATAAAAATGTAAATCCACATTTTTGTGTCAAACTTTTTCTGTCGACATGGCGTGCTCCATCGGTTGCATCATATCTTGTAAAATGTGTCTCTCCCTCTCTTCCGCCTTGGTATTTTGTCTCGTCATCCTCATCCCTAGCATTCTCTTGAGTTGAATAATTAAGAGGGAGCACCATGTCAGTTATCTTGAAATTCTGATTTGTAAATTAAATTGTAAAGGGGGTAAAATAGTCACATGCAAAGGTATTTAAAAATCACTATTAATTTATGAAATTAAAGTTATAAATGTCATTTCTTTTTTTAATTCCCACAAATAATGACCTAATCTATAGAAGGAAAAGAATTATCATCAACCCTTTGTGTCAGACAATCCTTTCATTTTTTAAGGAAAAAATAGTTACGCACTCCCCGAGCCATTGATCTTCCATTCAATTATACGATCAATTTAGCTTGCTAGTCTTTGTACAGGACTAGAGTGGCGTCATTTCATGCTCTTTGTTTCGAAAACAATTTCAACAAACTAACGCCACCTCGATCAATGCTTGCTTTCCATTAACTCCTTCCATCACGAGAGCCCTAGTGTAAACGCCATTGCCAACCTTAGTTGATAACTGATAGGTAATTCCAAAATCTGGTGGGCCTTCTTGGATCGAATGGGGTCAATTGTCTAGAAACAAGCGGGACCCACCCCCACCCAGTCCATAATGGGGGCCGCTTGGAGACCAGAAGAATTATGCTGCCAAACACGTATACATGCTCTCTATAAACCCATGAATGCTCCTCTTCATTTTACAACCCAAATTATCTACTACATTGATCCCACACTCCTCCTAGGCTAAATATCTCATACTACCACAATGGGTAGAGTTTGGTCTTATCGATTCATCATTTTCTTATATATATTCATCAGTCTGCTGCCTCTTCTAGCTGTAGCAGCAGGAAGGGGGCCTTTGAATATTGTTGTGAAGGCAAAGTCACCCGTGAAGTTTCCTAGCCCGAATCCTCCATCTTATGTTCCTAATCCTGGAGCTGGAGGTGGAAACTGATATATCCATTCATTCATCGACTGCAAGAGGTAAGTGACCTAGTTTCACTTGATTACATATCTATATATATATATATATATATATATACACACATGTAAGTAACAATATATTGTCTACTACTGTGAATGATCACAAGATCTCTCAGAGACTACCCAATTCTTATTATTATTTTATATATATCTTCTCACTTTCATTCTTGCCTGTTTGTACGCAACAGCACTCCTCACCTACTTCAATGGCCATCAATGAATCATTTTTCTGATCACATTTCTCAGCCCTAGTGACTCCCGCCCCTTCACATATATCACAAACCTCGTTTCTTTCTTCTTTGCCACCTTCGCCACCGCCTCTCTGATATTTCTTAAGTTGGGAAAGAAAGTAAGTAATTTAAGAAATATACCTCACGAAGTTTAGAACCAAAATCTGGGGTAAAATCAGGCAATATATCAACATGGGTTTTCAACATGCAGATCTCCTGTCCAACCTACATGAACAATCAAATCGGCATAAGAAAATATGAATAACAAAATTCTAGGACTTTGGTTAGTTGTACTGAAAAATGTACAAACAATCTAAACCATAATGACAAGACACGTATGTATTGAGAAAAATCAACGACTTCGAGTCAATAGCTTCATCTTCTCACTAGGAAACCGTTAAATTAGTTGTCCTTCAGTAAGCATTAGAAGTTTGGCCCAATCCTCAAGTAGCCCTGTATACAGGGCTACACAGACCCAAGCAAAAGATTGATAATGGCCCAGTTGGTGGCCCACTTAAAGGCCCAAAAGTGGGATAATGGCCTAGGTTACACTGCGAGCGCCTTGCAAATTTTGAACCAGGATCTGTGCCTTGTGGAGAAAGCGGCGGTGACACTGATACACTACAGTGGAAAAGTTGAAACTTACGGTTTTTCTTTAAATAAAAATTAAAAAAACATTTTCCATTAAAATTTCAGATATTTTCTAGAGAAACAAAAGGGGTGTGGTTGTTTTGTCTCGCCTTGTCAGCAATGTCAAGCAACTCAGCAGCAGTGGCAACATCGGCAGCCAAGCAAAGATTACTCTCCTTCTTCACCATCACCTCAAACAACCTCTTACTAGTCGGATTCTTGGCCATCTTCGCTCTATCCCCATAAGGAACCTTAACCCTAGGGTCCGCCGCCGCCGGTGCCGGTACCGCAACCTTCCGATTATCCTCCAGGAACTTCAACACCATCCCCTCCGTCTCCTCCGAAACCCTCCCCTTCTCCTTCAAAATCCTCACCATCTCAGTCAGCTTCACGATCGAGTGCAGCGTGATCCCATTCTGCGCCAAATTCTCCCTCCCCCCTTGCTCCCGGTCAATCATCACCACCGCGTCTGTCACCTTCAGCCCCGCCGCACGCAGCGGCGCCGCCGTCTCGAGCACGGAGGCGCCGCTGGTGACGAGGTCCTCGATGATGAGACAGATTTGGTTCTCCTTGAAGGCGCCCTCGATGGCCTTGGCGGTGCCGTAGTCCTTGATCTCCTTGCGGCGCATGAGCATGGGGACGGCGTTGGCGGTGGAGATGCAGGTGGCGATGGGGAGGGCTGTGTAGGGGACGCCGCAGACGACGTCGTAGGAGGTGGCGGAGGGGAGGGAGGCGATTAGGGTTTGGGAGATTTGGCTGAGAAGGGTGGGGTAGGAGACGATGAGACGGAGGTCGATGTAGATTGGAGAGGTTATGCCTGATTTCAGCTTGAAGCTGCCGAATTTCACGGCCGAGATCTTGTGTAGTTGCAGAATCAGAGACTCCATTGATGCTGCCGATGACATTTTCTCTCTAAAATGCCAGAGCCCTCTGTACTCTTTTTTCGAGTGTGGGTTTCTGGAGCACTGAGATTTGTCCTCAATAAATCTCTCTTTTTGTTATGGAAAAAATAAATATAGTAAAAAATTAAAAATGACCTTTATTTTTTATTTTTTTTATTTTTAATCCTGACAAAGAACACTACATAAAACAAAACAATATGAGTAAACCGTAACAGTAGCAAGATATGGGGAATGAAAGTAACGCGCACCAAAGCTGCATCACACCAAAGATGGCTCTATTGAAGCGTTTGTTGATAGCATGGTCGATAACTTTTTCATGTCTCCAAGCTTTACTAACTTTCAAAGGGTGAAACGAACGAAAGTGGACTAAGAAAGTAAAGGCTCGGGGATACAAGGTAGGTCCACGCCCAGAATTATGTGAGACCCATCCTAGACTTTACAAGTCCACAATCCATGAGGGTGGGCTAATGCTTCAATGAAATTCGCACTTGGACTGCTCACAAAAACATCTGGGATACGGGTCGAGCTAGATACGAAGCCCAAATCCACCTGAAGAACTGCCTCATGTTCAAACCCCATTAGACCAGCTAACTCTAAGGCTGCACCCTTCAAAACCCAACCCATAGGGTCCATCTTTCCAAAAGAGGATGTAGCCTTATAATGCTGAAAAGATACATATTTTCCACGCTGATGGATCAGGACCAACATATTGAGAAGCCGTTTGACAAGCGAATGGCTCGCACAGATTCCTAGGAAGTCGCATCATCCCCGACGACCAAAGAGAAGGCCAAGGCAAGTACGCCGGGGAAATTGTTTCGACAGCATCAAGAGCACCATAGAATAATTTGTGAATTAAACGATCAATCAAGACACCGTTGAGTGATCGAAGCTCAGACATGCCAAGATTTCTTGTGGCACATAGCCATAAACCATAAGAGCCGTCGCCCGTCTCTACCATGGAAGCAATCGTCGGACAGTTAACAAATTTGGAGAGCCAATCCATGTCTCATACTTTTGCTATGTAGAGCCGAGACGAGAAAGAGAGAGCTTGCACCGGAAAACCGCCCGTAGTTGAATTGTAATCATCAATAGAAACCCAGCTCTGATCATGGCAAACAATTGCAAACCCCTCACCAAAATCTTACCACCCTGACCAAAATATTTGGCATCATCCAGCCACAGTCCATAAGCAATAGAAAGACACGCTTCACTGATAGAAGGTTGACCCAAGGAGAGGAGAACCATAGCGGAAGATAGAAAAAACAAGACAAACATAGACAACAAAAGATAACAAGGAAAACATATAGAGTAAGAAGAGAAGTACGCAGAAAGAAAACTTTACCCATACCAGGATCAAAAGGAAAGACTAACCAACGTTGTCCAAGGCTCCAAAAGCCTGGTGTTACCACCATCGGCTCACCAGTCTGGGGAAGCAAACCCACATGTACGTCCTTCTTGTCCCACACTGCCCACATCATAGGCTCAACTAATGCAAGATTCGCTGGAAGCCATACCATGGAAACACTCACAACGTGAGAGAATCACAAACACTGAGAACCAAAGAAACTCCTACTTAGAGGAGGCATTGCACTCCAAATCTCTCTATTCTATTGTCCAGTCTTATCCTAACCTCGAGTACTATAATTTCTGTCTCAACTTCTCCCTCCCAAAAAATAATAAATGGTAAATTACACTTACTTCCCCTATTTGCACTTTAACTCCCAAGCATTAGAGTTCCTTAAATTTTAAAGGATAAATTTTACTCATTTCTCTATCAATATCCTACACAGACCTTTCTTGTTTCATAATTTCATTTATCTTCCTTACAAATTATTATTATATTGTGTTTGGTAAGAGTAATATATAAAATAAAGGCATATGGTCATTATCATTCTATCATTTTGTTAGACTAATTTAAAATTTAGAATAAAATGAATTTCAAATTAAGTTCTCTAAAATACCTCTATTAAAGACAAATATATCAATTAAATTAAATTAACAAAATAACATTCTTCTACCAGTGGAGAAAGGTGTCGACAGTGGTGGTGGCAAAAAGCGGCAGTAGTGTTGGTGTGTTGGTGGTGGAGGTAGCGGAAGGCAGTGGTGGTGTTGGTGGAAGGAGGCGGCGATGGCAATGGAGGCAGTGGTGGAAGGCGACAACAATGGTGATGGTGACAGTGATGGAAGGCAGCAGTGGTGGAAGGTGTGGCAGTAAAAAGGTGATGGTAGTGGAAGGTAATGGAGGTGGTGGCAGTAGAAGGCGGTAACAGCGATGGTGGTGACAGTGGTGCAGGTGGTGGTGGAATGCGGAAGTGGTGATGGCGGCAATAGTTGTAACGGTAATTGTGACGGTGGTGGAAGGCAATGGAGGTGGTGGCAGTGCGGTGGTTAAAGACGGCAACAATGGTGGCAGTGGTATTTAAAAATCACTATTAATTTATGAAATTAAAGTTATAAATGTCATTTCTTTTTTTAATTCCCACAAATAATGACCTAATCTATAGAAGGAAAAGAATTATCATCAACCCTTTGTGTCAGACAATCCTTTCATTTTTTAAGGAAAAAATAGTTACGCACTCCCCGAGCCATTGATCTTCCATTCAATTATACGATCAATTTAGCTTGCTAGTCTTTGTACAGGACTAGAGTGGCGTCATTCCATGCTCTTTGTTTCGAAAACAATTTCAACAAACTAACGCCACCTCGATCAATGCTTGCTTTCCATTAACTCCTTCCATCACGAGAGCCCTAGTGTAAACGCCATTGCCGACCTTAGTTGATAACTTATAGGTAATTCCAAAATCTGGTGGGCCTTCTTGGATCGAATGGGGTCAATTGTCTAGAAACAAGCGGGACCCACCCCCACCCAGTCCATAATGGGGGCCGCTTGGAGACCAGAAGAATTATGCTGCCAAACACGTATACATGCTCTCTATAAACCCATGAATGCTCCTCTTCATTTTACAACCCAAATTATCTACTACATTGATCCCACACTCCTCCTAGGCTAAATATCTCATACTACCACAATGGGTAGAGTTTGGTCTTATCGATTCATCATTTTCTTATATATATTCATCAGTCTGCTGCCTCTTCTAGCTGTAGCAGCAGGAAGGGGGCCTTTGAATATTGTTGTGAAGGCAAAGTCACCCGTGAAGTTTCCTAGCCCGAATCCTCCATCTTATGTTCCTAATCCTGGAGCTGGAGGTGGAAACTGATATATCCATTCATTCATCGACTGCAAGAGGTAAGTGACCTAGTTTCACTTGATTACATATCTATATATATATATATATATACACACATGTAAGTAACAATATATTGTCTACTACTGTGAATGATCACAAGATCTCTCAGAGACTACCCAATTCTTATTATTATTTTATATATATCTTCTCACTTTCATTCTTGCCTGTTTGTACGCAACAGCACTCCTCACCTACTTCAATGGCCATCAATGAATCATTTTTCTGATCACATTTCTCAGCCCTAGTGACTCCCGCCCCTTCACATATATCACAAACCTCGTTTCTTTCTTCTTTGCCACCTTCGCCACCGCCTCTCTGATAGTTCTCATCTTTCCGTTGCCGTCATGCATTATCGTCACATCCGGCATCAGATTTCCCTCCTGAAGCAGCCTCCGATCATCGGAGCTACCCAACCGGGGAAACCGTCCAGCGCGTGTCAAAGATGCTCTGTGCCCTGGCAAGCAATCAAAGCTTGTGACGAGGGTTCTGAGGCCTTCATACATGCTTGGAAGGGGTCGTCAGAGATGAAGGGACTTCGCCGGAATCGGAGTTCCGACGACGGCGTGGACGGTCACAGCGACGGGTTGAATAGTACGGTCAAAACTATTTTACTGTCGCCCGCAACTTCAAAGCGGGCAGGCCGAATAAATGGGTCTCTCTCTACTACTATTAAAAATAAAAAATTTGAAATAGAAAAATATCAAAAGCCAAAAGGCCCACTGTATCCAAACCCGATCTAAATCTGGGTTCTGGACCCGGATCGAATCCAACCCGCGCCAGATTTTTGACCCAGCTTCTTAAAGCCTGAACACTCTTGTCATAAGCCAATCATCCTCTAAAAATTGTATTAAACAAAGAAACAAAAACATTGTTGGCTTGTAAATAGAGAGGAACTAAATTATACGTAGTAGCAATGACATAAGATTCAAAATATATATATAGCGTTGGTCTTCTAATCTTTGTTTCACTGAATGTTTTTATTTATTTATTATTATTATTTTTTAATGTGATTGATTTATTTATTTCTCTGAGGCAGGTTCTTCTTTTTTTATTTTTTATTTTTTAATTTATTTTAAGTGTACGAGTTTAATGGGCCTATCAACTTTTAGATTTATATTCAAATTGAATGAGTAAAATTTTCTCTTTCTACTTTAACTCTTTTATATTTTCCATTTCCTATTTATATGTGTTTCTTTTTTATCTTGTTTTATGTGACCCATTTGTTGGAAGCTGAAATTTTAATACCATTGGAAACAGCTATTGAACTATATAACATTGTATAATTAACACTTTATGCCCTTTTCTATTTTGCAGGAAAATAGTACGTCATGCAATTGACATTGTTGGCGAGGAGAATGAATGTGTAGCAAATTGTAGGATGTCGAGTATTTGTGCAATTTTAATAATGTTGTAGAAACCAAATTGCAGGATATTGGTTATTTGTGCAATTCTTATTGTTTCATTTAATTTGTTTGACCTATATTCGATTCAAAAATATATTTTATATGTGTGTTATTATATTCGAATTCTTTTGGATTCGGGCTGTGTTGTAATTTAGTTTTGATCCATGAGTGGACCAAAATGTTTTATAATAAGCGTTTTTGATTTAGAAGATTGCTTGATGATTATTAGTCGAATAAGCTAACTGATTGATTGGAATTAAGTAGTACTTGAATTTGACAAAACAATGGATCATTTTATTAATAGAAATTGGTTAAAAATAAAGTTGAATTTGACAAAACAATGGATCATTTTATTAATAGAAATTGGTTAAAAATAAAGTTGA